GGGGATTTATATACGTACCACTCTAAATCATTCTATTTGCATATCTAACATTCAAAATTTTAATATTATATGCATACCATTATTATTTTAATATCAAATATGTCACCCATATTTCATTCCTACAACTTATATGTTTCATTTCTATTACTCAAATTTGATATGAAAGTGAGTTATGAGTGATATGTAATATCAATCATTGCCAGCCCATTCCTAATATTGCATCAAATGTAGCTAGTGGAAAAATAATAAGAGTTGCAAGCATATCCATATGGTTGATTATAATGTTACAATCATGAACACATTTAGTGACTATTATAGATGCTCCATATGGAATATTAATTGATAGATGAGGTTGCAATTGAGATATTGATGCATTTGATGTAAATTTGCTTGTTATATATGAATATGATGTGAATTCTTGTAGTTTTCTCGAGTAGCGGAAGGATTGGATTGATATTAAGCTTTGAGCAGGCAATCTTTAGCTTTATGTTTGGAGCTATAGTAATTAAAGCACTTCTAGATGAACAAGTTGCAAGTCTCTGAATGATATTTGTCGCAGTGCATACAACAAGAATTGCTCTTGGACTTCTGCTTCTGATGGCTCTTATGTTGTTTCTTTTGTGTATTTTTAGGTGGTTGACTATCTATTGCCTTTCGCTTTCCAGTAGCTTTTTCTTCATAAGCATTTATCTCTATCTCCACATGAATCACTTGATCAATTAGCTCCTTGAATGTAGTGCACTTCACTACTAATAAAGATCTTCTGATATCTTCTCTCAGACCAAAAAGGAAGTTGTAGATTTTTTTTTATCTTTGTGTTGCCCAATAGATAGTACAAATATGATAATTCTAGCAAACTATGTATTGTACTCTATAACTGATTTTGTCCCCTGCTCGTGCTTCTTCAAATTGTTCATCAGATTTGATCGGTCCTCCATAGGAAAATATTGCTCTAGAAATGATCTTTCAAATTATGCCCAAGGAATTATTGCATATGCTCCAAAGTTATTGTGTCGAATGCTCTCCCACATTTGTGCAATTGAAATGCAGATATGTCTACCTTTCAATCTTTTGGACATTTAATACCACCAAGCCTCTTTTCTATGTCATGAAGCCATGCATCATATTCAATTGGTCCAACTGTCCCATTCAATATTGGAGGGTGAGTCTTTAGGAAATGATCCATCACTCGATATATCACCCTTTCATTGGTTGGATCGACCTATAACATAGAAGTTAGTTTAAATAAATAAATATACTAATATTAATTATTTCACTTAATTTCTTTGACTTTGATTGAATTACCCGAGTTAGGAAAGCATCATGTACTCCTATGGCTTCTTGGGGCACTAATGGGGTTGTTGGTTGAGTTGGTTGTGGTACTTGCTAAGTGACTTAATTAATTCCTTGCACTGTTTAAGTAAGATGAGTGGTCACCCCTATCATCATCATGATTTTCACAATGATATCTGGATTTGGAGCAATGGCACCTCGATGACCAGGAGAGAGAGGTCCTTTGGGAATAGGTAGAACTTCCTCAGTAGTTCTCGTGGTATCAAGTCCACAAGCAGTAGCAACATCTTTATTCTTGGTGTCATTCTAAATTATTAAACATATCAAAATAAACTACTATAATAGACATATTATTTAACATCAAGGATAACTTATGATAATATAACCCACTACCCCATCCAAAAGAGTTAAGGAATAACAAATACAAAACAAAAGGACTATGATACCACTTTATCACACACTGAGTCCAGAAGGCGGTACACCCCAACAACATGGGACGTGATGAATGAATATGAAGACCTATTTTGTATTTATAAAGAGAAGTATACATATACAAAAGATACAACATTATGTATATATATATATATATATAT